AGTTAGAGAGAGAGAGAGAGAGAGAGAGAGAAACACACTCGAGCTCATGCAGCTTGCCGTGAAATTTTAATCGTGTCGTCATTGGGGTAGTTTGTTGCGATAACCCGACCAGCATAGACATATACGGATTTCGGGGAAAAAAGAGGACGAAGAGAGTAGAAAACCGTGCCGTCACTGAACATAACCGCCCTTTTTTTATACGTTTTTTTATGCTCTTCTGGGGACGGTACATCGACCACACGTACTAAGCACGACACGCGTTACCCGTTGCATTCATTAACGGTACGAAAGTAAAAGTTGACTAAAATTTATTTGTATGGTGGAAACTCGGATATTTCTAGACAATTCGTGCGGATCGCACAAGTTGATTCTGTTTCAGTTTACAAATTATAAATATATTTATAACAGAAAAATATAGAGTCAGTCTTGTAACAAATGATATATATTTGTGACGTATAGATGTCACGAGTAATCGCAGGACGGTGACAGATCGATTTTCTGAAAAATGTGAAACAGAGAAAGATTTGCGTGGTGGCGACGTGTCGGCATTATTGCTCATTTGATCCGATGCGCATCGGAAAATAATGTAGAAAATTGTTTTGCGGTCTTTTTATCTCGATTTCAGGGACGCTGGTCAGCGCGCGGGGTCGACGGGTGCTTTGTCTGTTTTCCATCAATCACGCGGACCTTTTCACCGTGCGGATATCGAGCCTGCCCGTTTTTGCGTGCGGTGCATCCCGCTCGATTGCAATCGCGGCGAATTATTGAATCTGCTGCATCTCGTCCGACCGGATTAGGTTGCACGCGCGGATCGTTCGATACACGATTGCAATTTGTTCACTTTATCGCGAAGCGCTGTAAGAACATTTCAAGTGCCATGCATTTTTAAGAAATAATGAAAGTAAGATGTTAATATGAAAACGATATTATAATATCAATTGCTTACTGCGAAATTTTTTAACTGTGATTATCATGCAAAGAGAATGTGAAGTGAATCATTTTTAAATTAATTATTATTTTTATGAAAAAATAACACGTTAACAAATAATTCTATGATGTATATGTATATATAATTATGATATTTAAGATATATATATATAAATATATATAATAAACAATGATGCACTTACCAACTTATGAATTGTATGGTACGTCCTCAGCGAAATCAATTCTGATCATATAAGAGAGTAAATCAATATCATGGAACGGATGATATTACTTTATTTGATGACGTACTTAAACAATGAATGATTTTGATTAAGGCCTGTAGTCACGCATACATACAGCGTCGTCATCGACGACTTCATGAATCATGTAAACAATAATTATGTAATGACATTTTACTATCGATGTCTCTGCTTCTAAAAAATGACATTGCCTCATAAAAAGGAGATAATAATTTGCAAAAGAATGTGACTCGGCCAGGATTAAAATTTTTCTATATGATAATATTTACAACGTAGATAGCTCGTAATTTCGCTTGTACCAGGAAACCTCCCAAATGTCATCTGTCACACGAGTATTTTCTTGCCTAAAATCGACGTTACAATATAGTTCGAAGAAGATAATAAATAAAAGATCATGGAAAAACGTACATCCTGACTTACGAAATTCGTTCTTCAGAATTAAGATACACATGCGCGTTGCGCGCGCTTCAACAGCATATTCGTGTAGTCCATAAGACATTCAGAAAGTTTAAGTATTCTTAATCGGAATGACGAGAGGGTAGTGTGCTTAACGTTTACTTGAAACATTAACTTATATAATAATCGGACGTCATTGTATATATGTACATACTATATATGCGAACGTAAACCCTGGTTAGTCCTCGAGTCCTTGACTGTTCTTAGACGATACCGCAACGGGCATACGAATAGATAAATAACTTTGACAAAAAAGTTCGTCCGAAAGTTTTGATAATTAATTTTCAAGCAGATGATTAACCGCGTTATATTGCGCGAGATGTTCGAGCATCCAACGGGCGTGTTTCGTTTATCCCTCGAAAACTTGACGATGATGATGTATCGCTTAGCATTGCTAAACTATTGTACAACATCGTGCAAGCTCCACTTTTAGGGTTTAGTTTCGAATTATTGAGATGGAATTGATCAATGTCCGCTGAACTCTTAGCGGAAATGAAGTTTTCTTCTGAAAAAACACACGATAAAATTTGCCTAGATCATACTTAATTCAATCTGTACTCCTTCGACAATCAAATCCATTTCTCACCTTGATCATCGAATTCGTTAAGATCATCACGCTTGAAGGATTCTCTCACAGAACAAATATACTGACTTTAATTCTTAATAAGGTCTCCACACCTGTCTAGGCTTAGGACTTCTCTCTCTTCGTGATCTGATGGCTTCTCTTTCGACATCTATCCCATCCTCCTTTCTTCGCGTCGTCAGATCTTGACCGACGTTTTCCTTATCCTGACCCTTCTTCGTGCTAAGATCGACCGTACCCTCTAGACGGATTTTTACAGTGAGGTCACCGCGACGAACAATCTGATCCTGATCGATTTGGAGATCCGAGTCGTTCAAATTCTCTATACTTTGTCGTAGATGAATCGATGCTTCTTGGAAGGTGGCATCTGTAGACGCAGCATCCTCCAGATCGCTCCTAATCGGCGAGATTCTTGGAGAATCTTGCTCGGGTATTGACTCATCGCTTCTAATGCGGTCTCTATTTAGATCTTGATCGTTCTTATCATCCACTTCGATGCTATCGTCAGGACTATCCAATCCGGATCGATGTAAAGCGCCTTGATCGTCTCCTCTCCGTTCTTCGTCTTTCGTACTGCTCTCGGGACTGTCGCTGCTGCTCCTAAGTTTCCTGAGTTCCTCCAATCGGGCCTGATCCGGCCTCTGCAATCGTTGTTGAGCCATTCGCAAGGCCAAAGCGTGCCATTCCGGCTCCAGGATGTACTGTTGCGTGTGATATAGGGGATTGTAAAGCCAAGAAGACTGTGGTAACAATGGCGCGAATATCGATCCAAAGATGGATCCCGTGGCACCCAGCAGATGTAGACCTGTGTTACAAACAAGGCATCAGCTTCTTCGGATCATGCATGAAGATTCGAATCGTTGGCTTTAATCTCGGATTATGTGTATCTCTTTTACCTTGAAAGTGTGAGTGATGTCCAGACGGGCTGGGTGTCGTAGTAGTAGTGGTCGACTCGGCGGGAGGTGTCGGTGCCGTTACGGAAGCCGTCGTCAACAAGCCCGGTCCGGGGTTGCCGGGTGACGTTGTCGGCGTTACTTCCCTCACAGACACACTGATAGGACCCAAGTCATTCCTCGAAGATTCTTACAGACATATCAATTACATGCCTATTAATCTTGCTTGAGAAAACGCTGAATGTTATTTAAGTAAAATATTCTCTTGTATGATTTTAATTTTCTTTGAGATTCTTATCCTTTATAACGAGAATATTTACCGGCGTTAGGCCCAGGTAGCCTCGGGGATCTCTGCTCGATGGCGTGATGGAAAGGATTGAAGGCTGATGCACCAACCGGTTGTGGATGTGTGTGCGGGTGATGACCAGGAGGCGGTGGAAGACAGTGCGGCGGTAGAGATCCTCGGGGTAACCCACCCCATCCCTGGCCCGCTCCTTGCTCCAGACCCAGGTGTTGCAATCCTGTGCAATCAAAGAAATGCAGATTACACGTTTCCAAGGGTTCTGTTTGTTTAGCGTCTCCGCTGTCATCACGCCTTGGTGACCTCTATATTGTTTAGAAGAAATATTTGTAATGAAAGACACGTTTACTTTACATGTTACTTACATGTAATTTGTATACAGCTACAGAATTAAAATAATGTAAAAATGTTTAGACATTTTAATAGTTATTTAAACGGAAAATTGATATTATAAAATATGATTATTATTTTTTCAGAACAAAATAACGCAATGTATAGACAACAGTATCTGAAAGTGACTGATATGATCGTTTTGTGACAAGACGTAACATATTTCTGGGAATCACGGTGGCGTTGTATAATTTTTGGCAGGTAAACGGTGATCGACTGACAGTTCGAGTCGTAGAAACGCATCCCTTTGACGTAGAGGCGGTTTTGACGTGGATGGACAGTTAAATTTATCCAACAGAGAATGCAGAGACGATCGATCACCTTTTTTTCGATAATAGCCAATATCGCGTGGCCGCACAAGCATGTGTTTGAATGCAATTAAATTTATGACATCAAAAAGTTCGTTCAAGGGTGATCGGTTGGACAAACCGACTGACATAAGTCGCATCACTGCTTTACTGTATATTTATTTATAAAACAACAAATTCATTTTTATTATTTTTTTTTTAAATAGCACGTGCCTCTTTCATAAAGATCACCTACAACATCTTTCCATAATTACATTATCGAAAGATTATGAGAAGAAAATTCTATTCTTTTTGATTTACATAATGAGTAAGTGACGTAATATTGATTTTCGGCACGTCGCGGTGTAAGAAGAACGATGCAAGAAGTAAGCACCGTGGTCATCAACGTGGTATCGGTTTTTCGAAAGACCTTGATCAATAACAGATTATGCCGTCATCTGTGCGGGGCAGTTTAAAAATTCCGTGAAGGCTCCCGCGAAGCCACCGTATGCGACGGAGGGGGAGGGTAGGAGTTCCGGCGGGGTGGCAAACAGGGGAAGCTTGCTTCGACGGAGCGGGGAGAATTGTCCGGTCACTGGCACGAGGGCGTGACCATCAAGATACGCAGATCGTCCCATTGGTTGCTTGTACGCCCCCACCAGTCGCACGGCGATGAGTGGTGGGATGTGAAAAAGCTCGGTAGGGGTCGAAGGGATGATTTTTAAGCTCTCTTTAAGCCGCGCGCGCTCGCCAGGGAGGACACCGCTATCTCGCGTCGTACCACACCAGCGTGGCACACTGAACGGACTAGCCGTGTGAGAGCTCGTAGCCCTCCTACTTTATGAGGGGGATTAAGAAAACGATAAGAGATGCGCGAAAGCACCGCTGCCACCGAGCTTACGGGAGCCAACGGATGGCTTCTGTTGGCAGGAGCATGAATAAGAACCGCTTTGGTAAGCTCTTCAGACACCCGGATTCTTAAATGACAGATGCATCGCGACAACTTTATTCGATAATTGACAATGAGTCAGTTTTTCATTATGTTAATCAAATTTAGATCTTACAGATAATCTTTCACCAATATACTATTGATAAAGTTTGATTTTAAATACTTAAGGTTAAATCATTATTTATGTTGCAATGATGGAATATTTGTATGACAAAATTATATTAGGGAAACACGATTTAATAATTGTAATAATTGTTATGGTTTTTATATATAATTATTAAGATATACGATAACCAAATTTGTTTCTGAAAAAATTTAATTAATATTCAAAGAATATTTAGTAATTTTCTTTTACCTAAAACAATCTTGTCAGTTTTACAATGAAGTAGAAACATTTGACACGACATGCATCCTTTTTAGAATGGCTGTAACATATTTTCAATTTAATAAACCTCGAAAATGCCGTACACCCTCTTTCGACGGAACTCGCGTGCCGGGTTGGGTTCGGCTGGCGGGCGATAATTCCGAAAACAAATGAAGACTAATGAGGGGTGGGTCCCTGCGAGATCTGGGAAAGAGGGAGAGCGAGGGAGACAGAGTGCGAGAGACGCGAGCTTGAAAGGGTTCAAGGAGCCGCTGCTACCCTTTAAGGGGTGAGAAATGTTAAGCTTAAACGTTACGGCCCTAGGGTTAGTTGCCTTTGCGTGTGCCTTCCATCGGGGGCTTTAAGGGATGATGTATTATCGAGCAGCGTGCTCAAAATGTGCTACGTACTTTGGTCGCGCCGTTCCCGAGATGCGGTAATGTGACGTCACGTGTAATACGAGCTTTTAAGCGTAGCTTTATATACGTTTCGCCGCCGAGCCACCCGCGGAGTGAATTAAATTTGGTCACGTCGATTAGAACTCGTTGACGCGACGCGATTTCGAATTTCGACTATACACTTTTTATTCGCAATATATTATTATACATATTGCTACAATATCGTAACAGTTTCTTCGAGCTTAAAAATAAGTCGCGTGAACCGTGTTTTATGAAGTTAAGTCTTCAACGTTTTAAATTTTATGCGTGAGTTTGCAGCGATGAAACTTAAGAAACGTTTTAAAGACACTGATTCGAAGCCTGTCACGCAGCTTGCGAACAAAGGGGGAAGTCCTTCAAGTTCTTCGCATTAAACCTCCTTGATCTCACCACTCTGAGATACATAATAAATTAATTCGCGTATTTTCCTGTCTGTCTTATCTATTCAAATCTATGCAAAACAGGCGTTAAAAACGCCCTTCTTGCTGCTAAGGCGTTAACCCTTGCGGAGCTCGATCTCCCCCTCTTTCCATAGCCTCTTTACTTCTTCTCTGTTACTCTCTCCGACTCGTTCGTCGTTCCTCTTTCTACCCCGCGTTCTATCCTCTAGCTACTGCTGGTTGGATGTCTTTGCACACCCACCCTTTGCGCCCGTTCTCATTATCGCGTCGCAGCAACCCCTAAAATGCCACCCTGGAAAGGTCCCTGGCACCGATCTAAGCTCTACGAGGAGATATTTCGAGAAAGGACGAGAAAATTGCTATCTCTCTTTTCCTTTTCCTCTATCTTTATCCCACTGCCGCGAAATTTTCTCTTTGAAGTCGAGAAAGAGTGCAAAAATGACGGATCTTTTAAGAAATTGGTAATGTCAGCGATGCATAAATTTTTATTCTCACATTTATGTTGTTCACGATTATATAAATATTGTAAATAACTTTAATTTTAATATTATATTATTATTAATTAATTGTGTAATAATTGATTCAATGAATGCGCTGAAAATTGATCATGTTGAAAAAAAAAAATAATTTTATCAACACGACATTTTTGTCATTTAATAATAAAAAATTTATTAAGTATACGCATAAATTTTTATATTATTAATTATTAACAGTATTCAGAATAGTAAATATTAAGTTTAATAACTGCATATATCAGTCTGATTACGTAACTTTGCATAAATGTAGGACGCTATTAGAGAGAAATCAGGTTGAGATAAATCGATTTCAAGGATATCGTGAGACGCTATCAGATTTCTATCTCTTAGGCTCGCTGAATTTTCAATGATAGGAAAGGAGACGAGAGATGAGACTGAGACTAGAGAGAGCGTCATTAGTTACCGTCGCTTCCAGAGAAAGGTCCCGGTCGCTGGACCTGATTAAAAGACGGAACACCCCGAGACGCCCTCGCAAGACGCACTAGGGAGGTGAAATGTGACGCGAATTTAAAGGATCCGCAGTGATTCGACACGGGGTGTGGACAGGAACAACCCTTAAAAAGGTTCCCTTTAAGGACCACACGCCCGAAGGGTTGTCGCCACGTTCGGTTTTCTGTACACGTGAAAGAGCCCTTTAAACGCGTTGCATCGTAAATCAGGTGCGACGGTATCTAAGTTCGGAAGAGGAATATAATCTGACGATCGTAGCAGACCACGATAGGACTTGTCGCGATTAGGCCAATCTAGCAGTCAACAAGATTTACGATATTCTCACATTTAGAGTTATAACAGTAGTTTTTTATGGTAGCAGCGATATATATTTACATAAAATAAGTCTCAACGACATATAAAATATAGAATAAAAATCTACATTTGTCATAACGATTGGTCACAAATTATAGGTTCGGTAAGAAGGGAGATCCACTTTAAAGAAAGTCGCGAATTTATTACAAAACGATCTAGAAACGAAGCGACAGTTTTAAACTGAGCGTTCTTAACAATCTCCCCCAAATGAGGTAAAGGCCACCTTATTGAAACAGGGGTCGCGATTTTTCCGGTTTTCTCTCTCCTCAACCCCTCTGCCACCCTGCCTCTCCCTTCTGTAGGCGGTTAATTGACACGGGAGAGCGGAAAGAGGGAGGGCAGATTGGGGCTGCACGAGCTGTTCTTGTTAACTCGAATCTTGGCACCTCGCGATTTTTCATCCCCTTAGCCAGACTGACAAAGACGACGGCCTCGGCCCTCCGGGACGTGCGCGATCGGGGTGTTTTCGTTCGTGGACAATCTCAGCTACGATCAATGTGGTATCTGTTACCGGATACATTAATTTTCTTTGAACTTGCTAGCAATTGCTTCTGAATGTATTGCGGAGCTCTTAAAAATTATTATAATATGTAGCGAGATCCGAAATAATTCTTTCAGATTTGCTAAATTACAAGATTTTGTGATCTGGAATTTTAGTTCATGCATATTATAATTAATACAAGTAATTTTTAGTAAAAATAAAAAAAATATTATAGGTATTGGAGGAAATGCTTTTGTCGTGTAAATTGTCTTATAAAGTTTTGTTAAAACAGTAAATGTTGCAGTTAAGCAAAACAAAAATATTTTCTTACAGAATAAATTTAATTTATTAATCTTATTTTGTAATATCCATTATCGTTCGTTTTTTACTATCTTATTTCGTTTTACAAATTTACGACCTTTGTCTTTTCTTATTAAAACAAAGATACTTGTGCAATCTCAATCTAAAATTAATTACACTGAAGAACGTATCATTCGATATATTGAGATTGACGAAAGAGACGAAATTAGAAGCGATATCGGAGATCGAAAGGAAGAAAAGGCGCACGGTCTGTTCGTCGGACTTCGGCGTTCTCATGAAGCCCTTAGGGAACTCATAAAATTCGTCCCTGCTGTCGAGGTAGGCCCGAACGAAATTTAATAACATCCCCCTAGTTACACCTCAATGGGCACCTTAACAACCCTGCACGGCCAGCTACTCGTCTCACACCCTCAATAGTGCTCTTCCTTTTCTCCTTATCAACCCTCCTGGCGTAGATATCTAATAAACCACCTCTTGAACACCCTTACCTTGTCAGCAATACCCAGCGGCTGGGCAGCTTTGAAAGTTCGAAAGGTGCTCGACTGACCGACCCTCTGCTGGACTGGATAGAGGCGCAACCTGTGAGCCGACTAGTGAACCCGGAGCGAAAGGGTTGAAAAAACTCACGAGTACATCACTCGAAATAAACCGATCGATATTCGTTGAGCGCCGTTTGTACCCTAGCCGAAACAATGTAGGTGACCCAATTGTATGAATTGTGCAATTAATTCGGAGCGGCGTGCTAAAATGGTACGTCAATAATTATTATAATTTACATTATATAATCTCTAATGTGTTGATATTCTTTAACGTTGACAAAATGCTCTGACTGATTTCAGTGAAAAGTTAATTTTGTTAAAATTTTCATTTTTACGTAATTTTTCTTTTTTTTTTATATCATATTAAAAATGAGATCACGCGTAGTTTCTGAGATTTAAAAAAATGTTGCATAATTATTGCATTCTGTGATTATTCAGTCAAAGTTCAATTTATGGAATTACGATTATTAGAACAATCTGTGGATCGAATCGACGGCAAGAGGCGCAAAGAGAAGAAAAGTTAAAGCTCCGGCGTACTACCGGGCGCGGCAGTGGCTGATTCTTGATTGAGCAGACCGGGGTTGCGGGGGTTGGACGGGAGTAACAGCGAGAAATCGACGGCAGGACTGCCATCCCGTAGTATGCCTCGGGGATAGGAGGGAGCGAAGCTCCGTTAAGCCGCTTATCATGCCGAAACAATACACTGTCGGTGCACCAGTATCAGTACCCGACCCTCACTGCTCCGGGCTAGTCCCATCAAAATTTGGAGCTTCGAACGAGTTTCAATGGAATTCGTGCCACCCGACTGTCCTGTCGAACCGGCCGGATACCTAAAAACTTTTTTGAAAACGTTGGCGACGGTGAAATTATTTAAACCATCGTTCATATTACAGCGCACACATTACTATTCCAAAGAAAAAGTCTGATTGATTATACGCTAAAAATAATTTCGAGTGATATTTCGCGATTTATTTAATGAAATTTTTGCATTTATTAAAAAATTTTTTTACGAATAGTACTACAAATATCATCATAACATTCCAATGTTAAAAGTAAAAAAAAGAATGATTCATTTCACTTGATCACTTAAGTTGGAAAGATATTTTACCGCGCCATAAGCCACTCGATGGCAAAGTTAACGGAGCCAAAGTTTATTCGCGACTTCTCTGCGAGCGCGAGAACCGAGCGACTTCCTCGAAACGGAAAAGGCAGAGTTCACGTTCGGGGCTTAATCAGAGTCTTCTTCACTTAGAGGCCGGTGGCAAAACTCAATTTTGAGTCGGTGCCTGCCGACGCTCAATTTTGACACCCTTCGCAGCCACGAAGCTAGCGCGCGAGAAGAGGGCGTCGACCCTGGCCCGCTGAAGTTGCTACAGTTACTCTCCTCTCGGGAGGGGTACGGCATCGGGGTTGTAAACTTAGTTATCTATCAGGGAGACGTGCCGAGAGGCTGAAGGTGAGCCTCACCGGAACCCAGGTATCCGCTCAAATTCGTTGCGACGAAGATGACGGAGGCTGCGCGTGTCTTTGATTAGAGAGCACCGACTTACCCGACAGTTTGAATCCCAACGGGTCCTGCGGGTGTCCGAAGGGGAATGGACGAGGTCCGAAGTGAAAGGGATGAAAGGCCTGGTGTCCTGCAACGTGGAATGAATTCATGAATTATCATCGTTGCGACTCGATGGCAAGTTCCGACAACTCGCAATTATCCAAATAACATTTACCAGTTTGCTCTTATTAATTAAGATTCTTAATTAATTTCTCTCAAACATAAGATAAATTTTAATAAAAAGTTATTATCTTCGGTAGGTAAAGTTGTACTCACTTGTCTTCGACCGCGGTTCCCTTGGACCGTCCACAGTCACCTTGATCGCCTTCGACAAGGTGGCCACTTGCGGCGGTGATGTTTGCAGCATGATCGTCAGGGTGAAACTTTTTCCTGAAACGAAAACGAGCACGTCGGGAGGTATGAGAAAGAATTATCTCCTGGCGGTAAAACGAGAAACGAGTTTTTCCCAATGGAACGATATAGCATATCGTGCTTTGGATCCGTTGCCAGACCAAAAACCATAAAGACACGGTTGATTCCGCACTCCTCGGTTTGCGTAGGCTCTATTATTCATATCCAATTCGCCGACCACGAAAAGAAATATTCTCAGTATATACAAACTCATGAATTGCATTTACTTTTTCGATCTATATCCTGCGTTATTTGAACATTTATTTGATCAAGAGTACATTTGCGTGTCGAGGTGAAACGAATCCGTTATAAAAAGTAACAACAACATAAATTAAACAAATGTTATAATTTGCTACTCAGTAATGTAATTCTTATGTACAATATAACATGTGTTAAATTACATTTATATTGTTGACTGGGAAAATTATGATATTATGATGTAATATTACTCCCATACAACGCAGATTATTACAGCATTGCAATGTTCCAGTAATATTGCACTAATATTGAAAGTGTTGTAACAATGTTGACGCAAGCTTCTGAACTGTATGGGATTGTTATTTTAGCAGGGATACGCTTTACAAGCATTTACGTAATGATGACTGCCACTTTATGTGTTAATCGAATTGACGTTCTGACGTTAATCGAATGGCTGCAGCTATCGCAATTGATTGGATTGAAATTTCTTGGCGGATTTAATCCGTAATATCGCAAAGGATATGTGCTTGACGGCATGCACGGGCAAAATGACAATGTACGCGTGGTGCGCTCGCTGGAAACAAAACACAAATGTGCCGGAAGTAAGGGGTGAACGAGTGACGCCACTGCGTCGATGTTTGTTCCCGCATAGGCTGGAATATGTTAATATTGCCGGCGCTAAACGTGACCCTCTGATATTCGCAGTTCCTCGTCACGCGCGATTTCATTGTTTTATCTTTCAACAACATTCGGTAGTTCAATAGATGAGATATCCTCCCCTCATAATTTCGAAACGATAATTTGTCTGATATAACATCTTGAAATATTGCTTTTAACAAAATATATTTATAATAATGAAGTAATTGTACTTTCTTACGAATATCGTATTGTTTTTTTTATTATTTCCTAGATAGCAAGCAAATGTTATTGTCGTTATTTCGATATTAAAATAATAATAATAGTAATAATAATAATCTTTGAAGTGTAAAAGAAGAGAAATATGCTCACATACAGCACACTAATGTTGAATCAACATCCCAGCAACATTTAATTGCAACATTATAAATGTTGTGTCAACGTTGAAAAATATTCACAGTCATCTGCACTGTTCTCAGCAACGTTCTTTCACATTTTGTGTTGCATGAGATGGTAAAATGCATAGTAAAAGATGAAATAAGGAAAAATACATTTTAAAAGATGAGATATTAGCATAATGCTGCCTTAAAGTTCGAGCTTACAATTAAAATATAATAAAAAATAATAGCGCGCGCGCGCACACATACAACGAAATCAAAAAATAATAAATTGCTGATTAACGAAATGTCATTTAGATATCGAAGTGACAAATGACGTTAGTTCGCTACCTACACTATTAAATCTATAGTGTCAACTTAATTTAACTTAATTCATTTAAGTCGCCACTGCTTCTACTAAATATATCATTATTTTACTACTAAAACGATAGTTAAATTTGACACTATATAGTGTCAAATATGAGCATTGTTTTAATTGAGTAGGAGTGGTGATTTACGTTAGGTTAAATTTGACACTATAAATTTAACAGTGTAGGTTTAATAATTTTGAAACACAAGCGTATTTTGTATTTTTATTATTATTATTTTTTTTAACAATATATTTAATCGTATTTATATTTTTACTTTGGTTTAGACTAAGGTACATTGAAGTACAATTTCTGATTTTTCTAATCTAAATATCTCGCATTAATATATTCGCACGTTAATGTTTTTCGTTCTCCAAGTCCGTCGATGACCTGAAACAATATTGGCAAACGCGCAGATGAAGCGCGACTCGTAACTGGCCGGGCCGTTTACTAAATTTCGATGTTTTCGGCACAAATATTTCAATCGATGACGCGCGCGTCGCACGGAATTTGTCACGCGTTCGACGCATCGAACTCAGTCCCGGTAATCGCGCGTACGCGAAATAAAACGCGCGGGGACGGCCAGCCCATCTCGTTGGGTCGCGTCGCATCGCAATACCGAACGAAGAAAATAGCAGCAAGCGAGATATGTCGACGAGTAAAGCAGGACATTTACGCGCTTTTCCGCGCTCTCCGCGACAATAAAGTTATACAGCTTATAATGGCGTCGCCAAGTGGCGGCCAGCTCCTGGTATGTACACGCGCGTGGTCGGGTAGTTTTATTTTATGGTGGCGCGGCCAGCCCCTGGTAAACGACCGCGTTTTTACGGTGAACCACGACATTTAACCGGCTTACCGCTCGTCGCCGGGCGAAATACCGGACTTTAACTTCGCCAAGGGACCCGTGCCATTTCCAACGCGCTCCCTTTTGCGACGCGTGCTGATTGGCCGTTATTTTCGCGCCACGTTGTTTCACGATGTCTATTCAAATATCTTATCGCGACTTTTACATTTTCTGCATTGTATTTTGTTTCATCTTGAAATATTGGGCTTAGATGTAACGCCTATTCTATAATTGCGTAAGCATAGTTGTAAGTCGTTGTAGTTGTAATCACAGTCACACATTCTTTTCGTATTTGACTGTAATTAGTCAATTCTTACAACTACAATCATTAAGTATGCTTACGGCTGGTGTAGAACAGACATTATGCATACAACTTAAAATAAATTTGATGTATAAGAAGTAAGAATAAAAATTGACCAAACACAATTGAATGTGAGAAGCATAATGATCGGTCAATTTCTTACTTTTACTTCTTAAACCAAGTTTATCCCGCATAATTTAGACGACGCATAATAGTTAAGGCTATGGCATAAAAAATTTAAGTAGTAACAGGGACGGAGACTTTTGATTTTTCTGGGTGTGAAGTCATCCAGACAGGAGAGGGATGATTTCAAAATAACAAATATTTTATCTTTCATCGTATGTGCGAAATATATATATTTCTACACATTCTAGTTAAATACTGTTTTTTGTCAAATCATTCAAAATTGTTTTAAAATTTGTCAAAAATTTTTTTTTTCAATATCCTCATTTCTGGGTATGGAATTCAACCCCCAAGAGCTTTGGATGTGGAAAGCTCCATACGCTCCATAAGAAAGTCTCCATCTATGAGTAATGAGACGTAAGTACGAAGCAAATCAATAATTGATTTTGAACTGAATTTGCTACTGCTTACATCTTAGTATTACGTTTCTTTGTGTACCATAGTCTTTATAACTGCACATTCTCTGATCTTATAATTAGCATCTGTGCTCCGTTAGAAAGAGAATTGAACATACATCAGCATTTTTCATCAATTCTATCAATGTCTTTCTTTAATTCGACATTTGATTCAAGTTATCTCACTCTTCCTAAACCGATAGTGACAATTTTATAGAAATGGACAATCTATTCTTATTATGTTTATGGTATTAAGTTTATATCATAAAATTGACGATTAATGTCTCGATTTTATTTAAAAAAAAAAATTTTTCTCGAAAAATTAATTTTCTAAGTGGTTTGTCATACATATATTCAAATAACGCAGGCCCTCAATGATATTTCGAATTTTATGTCTCACGTTGAAAGATTCTGTCGGAGAGATTTCGTGGCTGAGAGTTAACGAGACCGAAGTTTATTGCCAACGTGGTGTCAGGCGTGAGAGGGCGGCGGCAATGCGAATCAGGGGTGATGGCAGGCATTTTGAGGGTGTTTATGAGGCATTATGTGTAACTCGCTGGAAGAACGATCTACCCTTCGGGGTCTACAGCACTCTCCCCCCTTCCCCTGACTTATCTACGTCTAGCGAGATTCTAATTCATCGGTTGTACACGAATGAGATTCATGATGGCCAATTGCACGTGAAAACTGACTTTCTCAAATCTCTTCGAGATACTGCGATGATCCGATTACAACAAAATTGATTTACTACGCGATTTACGAAAGTGGGAAATATTACGCGACTTTTTTGGCCACTTTCTTGTTTTAAGCACTTCTTTATGTAGGATTTTATTCATCCTACGATAGTATCCTTTGCATTCACAAACAAGTTTGAAAAAATTACTAATCCACACGCATCGTACGTCACTTTTATCCAACAAAATATTGCCTGGTCGCAGACGCGATTGAGAGGATCCATAAAGATTATGATGTCCGAGTGGACTGTAGAATTTTTATACTGGACTTTTTCGAAAGATTATTGAAGGGCTCGCTAGTTTCGTATGGCAGTGTCCTGTATTAGTGTATTTCTCAAATCTAAATTTAAAAATTTGTGTTAAAAGGAAAGATTCTTGCGTAAGGTGATTAATTGTAATCAAAATACGTTTAGTTTTTGTAAAATCAGAAAATGTTCTCACGTATTCTCGCAACGATTTAAGCCAAACGAATTGGCTGAGAAATTAATTCGGACAAGGTTGGCTCGCGTCCACTTACGCGATAAGAATTGCACGAGAAGACGCGAGAAGGCTGGCGTTCGCCCTAAGTTTACTCAGGGATCATGCAGTGTTAAAAACTCCCCTGTTTGCCGGCGAAGCGAGTGCGAGTACGGGGGTTGCTCGGATCGTTATTTCGGAGTGTTTGTCGTGTTTTAAGATTCTGACGTTTTGACTACCCGAATCGTGGTAAACGAGACTGAGCGTGTGCTTTCGTGACATGTTTGGAAGGAAATTCTTTTTTATCTTTATCTTCTCACACCATTGAAAATCTTAAACTAACATCAAGGGAATCAATTAACAGTTGATTATAAATAATACGTACTTTTATTATTTGTTTAATAATGGCATTATTGAAAATAGACGATTAACTATGTGAATGAACTATCATTGCGTAAGCATATTTGATGATTGTTTTGCAATGCTT